TTAAATTTTATCAGATCTACGATTGTTTCTTCAAAACATGAAACTATTTTATTTTCCCTAGAGGTTTTAATGAAATATTGTTTTCTTTGTATTTACTAAATGTGCATGCATATGATATGATTTACCCTGTAATTTATGTTGATCACAAACGATAATCACATTTCGGCGAATGCAGCAAAAGAGAAGCGATAAATACCAAAGGGAGATTCGACTCGTTAATTTTGCATTAGTATTAAAATATTCAACTTTTCTACACTTTACACAAGTATTCCCAATTCCAAACTAAAAGACAAATTGAAACAGTTGGCCCTGCTTTGTTTCATAAAAAAGAATGGCCTACGCAGATACACGTTTCTTGTCTCAGGGAGGGATACATCGTACTTTGTAAACAATCGCTCTACAAAATTTCTCTGAAACTGACGTTATCAAGATGCTCGATTTCTTGATTGACAACATATTTTTTGTTACGTTTGAAGGACGTGTTTTTGAACAAACAATCGGCATTCCCATGGAAACCAAATGTGCTTCTCTTATTGCCGATTTGTTCCTTTTTTCATATAAGGCTTACTTCCTGCAGGAACTTCTTAGGAAGAAAAAAAAAGTTAGCACTACATGTATCCTTTAATTTCACTTTCGCTATATAGATGATGTTCTTTCACTAGATGATTCAAAATTTTGTGACTATCATGTTGAACGCATCTATCCCATCGAACTTAAGATAAATGATACAACAGATAAGTTAACATGGTTAAGTCTGCCTCATATCTTGACTTAAATTTAGAAATTGACAATGATGATCGGTTGAAAACAAAACTTACGACAAAAGATATGATTTAAGCATCCCAATTGTGAACTTCCCATTTCTATGTAGCAACATTCCAGCAGCACCTGTATACGAAGTATATATCTCCCAGTTGATACGATATTCCAGGGCTTATATTTCCCATCATGATTTCCTTGATAGAGGGTTGGTCCCCACAAGGAAGCTATTAAACCAAGAGTTCCAAGTGTTGTAGTTGACGCCGTTCCTTCGTAAATTTTACGGACGACAAGTTTTACTTACAATGTAAGGAATGAACATACAATGTAATAATAAATAAGTTAGTTGAAATATTCTCGAGAAAAAAAAAACTATGTAATCAGTATGCATAAAATTATAATGACGAACCGTATGATATAATAATAATATTGTATGAGCTGAATGCTTCACCATAAAGTCAGTGACCGTTAATATTTTTCAAAAATATAACTTCGTTGTAATACCAGAATTTAATTGGCAAAGATCACACAGCTTCTGTGTTTTTGTTATAAGACTTTAGTCTGCAAAATAAACAAACAAACGAAGAAAAAAATCGGTCCGATAAAGCACTTAATTTTTTTTAACTGGTTATAACAATGAAAATAATATTTGATTCATTCCTGCGTCTGAAGCACTTTTCTTAATTAACAGTCATCGGCAACGTTGAAACGCAAACATTTGAAAGCCAAGGCTGTGTTCGACATAAACACGAAGAATATATGACCAAAAGGTACACACAACAGAAACGCACCTACACCTTATGATTTGCGTAGGTACAACGAGTTCTTACATACAACTTTGTTATTAGGATATTTAAAATCTGTTAATGACATGCATTGACATTTCGATAGTTTTAACCCAGACATTATATGTACTCTTTTAACGTCACCAGACAGTTTATATAAATTTTTAAGCAGTTGTCTCTTTTATGATTTCTGCTTTTAGAAGTTAGATGTAACGTTTAATGTCACAACAAAGGACAACAAAAGTATAACATGTTTAATACCAGAGGAATCTCCAATCTTATCAATATGAAATGACCAAAGAGTAGACATCAAACTTCATTATAGAATATATGCTTATAATTATGTCGGCAAACAATCGTTTTATGATATACAGCTGAATTTATACATCTATACAGACACATTTAGGGTCTCTTGACATGATATGTAAAAATAATCTTGTATGTTCAGAATTGAAAGATTCTGAATTATGGCTATACGAAATTAACGCATTAAAAAGAATTGTCAAGCTTATCTCCGGTAAGAGGCAATATCAGTTTATCGATGTTCAAACTCGTAGATCCATGCAGTGTTATAATTCATGTTTATTATTGTATATTTACACATATTTTTACACATATATGTCTGAAGGTTGCTTAATAATAAAATCTTGAATAGAATCTTGCCATCTTGAATAATACACATAAATCAAGATACAAAAAAAACCCCTGAAGGAATCGCAAATTACAATAAAAACGAGACCTGTTGTCTCAATAGGGTAAGCATATATTGCTACAATGTATTTATTGTCATGTAAATACAAACTTGGTTAAATTCTCGCCAGATGGAATAATAAAACATCAAGAATCGGTAAATTTGCAGATAAGACGACAATTCTGATATTCTTACATTTAGGAAGACATCGTTTCGATGTCTGTTGTGAATTGTAACACTGACACTTTGTATCGGTCAGACTATTCATGATGATGACCATTAACTTGTATAGTGTCGTTTTTCGTCGTTCCTTCTTATAACCTTGCTGGAGGAAGTTATATATTAAGAGGAGATCCTTGTAAATGTTATCCGTATAATATAAACATGCGCATATGTTTTGTATCAATTTGGAAATAAAAACGCCCTTCAATATGGTACCGGTTATGTAACAACTAAGCAATGTAACATGTTTAACTCCGCCAGATTCTTTATGTGCCTGTACCAAGTCAGGAGCCTGTAGTTCAATGGTTGTCGTTGGTCTATATCTGCTATACTTGTTTTTCGTAGATTGTTTTGTTATAAATAAGGCCGTTAGTTTTCTCAATTGAATTGTTTCATATTTTTCATGTTTGGGCCTTTTATAGCCCACTATACAGTATGGGTTTTTCTTATTGTTGAAGGCCTGACTGTTGCCTATAAATGCTTTGGCTCACTTTATTTGAACTTTGGTGGATGGTAGTTTCATTGGCAATCTTACCACATAAAATATTTGGCAACTCATGTGTTATTTTTGGTGGGCGTTTTTTATATAGGTATATGAGAAATATGTGTGTAAAGGAGTATCACCTGTCCTTCCGTTCTTGCCAACTTATTTCTTTATGCGTATTTCAAAATTCGGGACTTTATTGATCCAATATTTTTCTCTAAACCCTTAATAATTGATTACGTAAATACATTGAAATGTGCTTCATTTCTCTATTTGCGTCTAGAAATTCATAATGAAGTTCAGATGAAAACTAAACTTCAGGACAAAAAAAGATTATTTCAATTCTTACATGAGCAACTAAGGACGTGCCACAAATGCACCACGCACATCTTATCCTTTTTAAGCAACTGCGTAAAGTGCTAGTTTTTGGTTTGGTTCTTTTAGCGTAATCTTTAGTTTTCCGTGTTTTGTTTTGTGTTTTGTTGTTTGTCATTTCGTTACCTGTCTTTTTGGTCACTAAATTGATATTTTGAATTTGTTTTGATGAATTTCTTATTTGTTTTGTTTAAACGTTTTCACATGCTGCCTTCGAAGTCTCGAAGAGTATTATTTTTGATAGATTTCATTTGTTGATATATCTTATCTGTTAATCTTTTTTAGTCCACAGTTTCTTTATCATTTGATCTTATTTCATACCATCACTTTTCTTCATAGTTTAAATACAGTATAGTTATGCGACATATTAATACTATTTGATACAACAGTTTTCATCTACACAAGACATGAACTTATTTTAACCTTTTTCAGATCAGATAAACATTGTTCTAGATATGACTTGTGAGATTTTTTTTACAGAAAACAAGTAGTGTTATATGCGATGGTTTTCAAGATTTATGATTTAAATTTAGTTGTTTGGTTTTCTGCAATAACAATAAGAGTGGTATAGTAAATGCTTCTACGTGTTCATAAAAGGTATAAGTTAATTCAAAGGAAGTGAAAAATAATGACACAAGAAAATTATTGAACGCCTTTGGTTCTGAAAAAAATGTAAATCTATTAAACACAGACTTCGAAAACTCGCAATTAATATCAACTTCTTTCTTGTACATGAATCTACTGAAAAAAAAATTTGTTTCGTCTGCAGAACTGACAAAAAACCTATCATGATAAAAATAAGACAAAATCACGAAGCAAAAAACACAAAGACAAAAACAGCAAAAAAATTAACTAAAAACAACCTTCACACAAAAACAAAAAACAAAAAACAACTAAAAAAAAATAAAAAATTACCAGGTCTTAGAGCTTTATCATGTTTTTATACCTAAAAAATTTAAATTGCACTTGTTATTATCATAGCTTTTAACAGTGTGTTGTAATTACAATTATGGTTGCTTTATTCGTTGATTTTTTAGTTTTTTAATACTCATTTAGTATGATTAACTACTAATTTTGAATTTTGATAAAAAAAATCGTTTATCCATTTAATTATTGTTACATGATTAACCAACCAATGTTGATTATCAACAATCTTCTTATTTCGTCATCCTACAGCTTTTATCGAAGTCAACATACTATGTGCTGCATAGAATAAGTTTCTTGATAATGAAATCCGATTAACCAATAGATGACTGACATTAACATCTAAAATAACTGAAAACCATGTGATCACTTAACCTTCATTGTGAAATACAATGTAGTATAAATATCGCATGATATTCGAAATTGTTTACATCAGTCTTTGTATACCATCAAATAAGTTGTGTAAATCATTGTGAATTGAAACCTGCTTAAGAATTTGAGGAAAACAATTTTATCCTGTTTAACTAAAGTGCCACAATTCAAATTGTATTGAGTTATGACAAAAAAGATATATTCAGAGATGCAAGATAACAACGACATGCATTATATCGATACAACAAGATGTGTCCTCCCGGAACTATCATCATCGGTTATAAGGAAGGAAACACAATCGGAGCCGAATTCTCGTACTAGTTCTTTAAAGAAAAAGAAGCAGCAGGCACATGAATTTATAAAAAAAGATATTAGTTTTAATCTTCCAATGGACACATTATCAAAATATTCTAATGACTTGACTGTGAATGAAATAAAAAAGAAATTTAAAAGACGGTCTTTTGAAATGACATCAGATGGACTTTTAAATGACAGTCTTCCATTTCGTCGTAGACAAAGCAGTGGTTCGTCAGTATCATCTCACTATAGATCAAGACTTACAAGTGATGCATCTAATGCAAGCTCATTTTCTTCTTCTTGGAGTTGCTCATCATCATGTTCAACTGGATACTACAGGGTACCAATTATGGGAGCTCATGGTGTTGGTAAAACAGCATTAGAGAATCGGTTTATGAGCTCGGAGTACATGTCGCATATAGAATCAGATATCGGTAAGTTATCTGGTTTATCGGATTCAGAAAATAGATTTTGTCCAAACGGAGTTTAACGAACATTTTTTTCTGAAATCAACATCTATATCTTTATATTAATTTAAATATTTAAAAAAGACAACTAGATTGTCTAGATCATTAGAGTTACAGTATATAGCACATAAACCACGAATAAAAGAGGATATGGAATTTATGCCAATGAAATAGCAACATACGACAGCAATACTAAAAGCCATCGACAGGGCATCAGAGTCATCAATAGTAAACATGTTTAAATGCAATACGTCAATTTTTCAATCGTCTAGAATCTTTAAAAGTGGTGAAGAAATTTGAGATAAACAATGAAATTTATTCCATTAACACCACATTCTACAAATATTAAAACACATAAATAAAAGATATACAATAACCACAGATACAGTTTTACTCATCTAACACTTTTGTTTAACATTTGTAGATGAATTCGACGAAAGAAAACTTACTGTCGTCGTCGACAATGAGGAATCTACAATGGAATTTATGGATTTGCTATCCATAGAGGTAGGTATAATAATAATAATTAGTTTTTCTTTTGATTGTTTCTTTTTCTCGTTGCTGATGTATGTGAAAGTCTCTATGTTGTGTAATTACATGGTAAATACTGATGGGCTGGAAAATATCAATGTTTACTTATCGAATGACAAAAAAAAATGATATGATAGAAAGAATCACTTAAATATATATTGTTTTTGTCAGGAAATTTAAGGAAAGCACTAAAGACTTGTTTTTACCTTTGAAATTTTAAATACAAATATGCATGAATCTTTATTTGAAAAAATTCTTAAGTGAAAAAACTGAATTTGTACATAAAATGTTTGTAGATTAATTTCATCAAGAAAGTGAAAAACCAAAATAATTAAACTAACATTTATAACTTGTTTCATTTAGCACGATGTTTTACCAGCAGATGCCTATGTTGTTGTGTTTTCCGTCCACGAAAGCGATTCTTTCACACTGGCAGAGGGATTTCTACAATATCTACGCAATGAACTTGATAGTGACAGACCAATAATATTAGTTGCGAACAAAATAGATTTAGTCAGGAAACGACAAGTCACCAAAGAAGGTAAGATGTCCTATCATCACAGTGAGTATAATGTGCTTATCATATTAATTTGTTTATATCATTGTTAATTTTTTTATAAATGTAAATGAAATTGTTAAGAAATATGTACATTTAAAATGCACTTTATATCTATTGCAAAATTTTGAACAAATCTAAAGTCAAGTAAAACAGTATTTAAAGAATTCTCAACTTATATGATGGGCTGCTGTTTTTAATACTGATAAACATAATGTTTTAACCATGGTTTATTATGTTTTCAGAAGCACGCCAGATTGCAAAAGAATTTGAATGTAAATACATCGAAACATCAGCTGTGTTAAACCACAAAGTTGACGAACTACTAGTTGGGTTGTTAAAACAAATAAAACTAAAGCTAAATCCAGATGCCATTCAAAAAGCAGCTATTTTGACACAGTGCAAAGGGAAAAGGCATTCTCTTTTTAAAAGACTTCTTAGTAAAATCTTAAGACGCACATCAAAAACTTTATCACAGTGTGAAAATTTGTTTCATCTATGATTTGTTATATATTAGGCACTAGTGGATGTATCATGATATTAATAAAGCATAATTCAATTGTAGTATATTTCAACCATTAAATGCATTTTTATATATATATCATACATGTAGATTTTGTAGTTTCGAGCAATACAAACGCCCGAACACATTTAATAAAAGCAATATAATCATATCATCAATTCTCATTCTATATGCAAACGGTTTTGAGAAAATAATGTTTAAGTTAAGATTCCTAGTAAAACAATACAAAAATGTTACAGTAAAGTGCCTTATCTTTTTGATCTTCAACGTTTTGATAGAGATTTGTTTGTGATTTATTTAGCCTTTATTTTTGTATACTTTAAGAAGACTTTTGAGTTATTGTTTTCTTTATTCTATTTATCCTCAAGGGTTAAGTGGACAACTTATAAAATGCTTGATATGTTATTATTTTCTAACGTCTTTGGCAATCTGTACAATCATGTGCTGTTATCATATATGCAACTATGACAATTACCATGAAAGTTTTATTAAACATTGTTTAACAGTTAATGATATTGTTACATTATTACGAATAAAAATATTGAAAAATAAAATAAAAACAAATTATATCATGTGCATTTTTGATTTTTTCAATAGATAATTTTAAACAAGGTTTAAGATTGATTGGGCATCATATCAATTTTGTTTTGAATGTCACTTATGGTTCTTAGTAACAGGAAACGTTCGTCCGGCGTACTTATAATATACGCCTGTTATCTTGGGTCCTTTTTTAAAAAGATAGAAGAAAACATAATATATAGGTAAGATGAGTAATTAAAATCGTCTTTAACTACTCAAGACCAATATATTAAAAGACTACGTTGATTCATTTTGATTTTTAATATGTTGTTGGTCTGTTTAGAACTGAACTTTACAAAAATAGAAATCATTTAATATTACAATGATTGTGTACTCTCATTTTTATGTACCAATATTCCAGAATTGGTCATTGGCTTCCATCTTAGTATCTTCTTCTTTTCGTTTAACTGTATGAGATCACTTACATTGAATTATGCACAGCTGGATATGCTAAGCACTTTGAGACAACAAGTGTGTCAGTGAAAAGATCTCTTTCGACTTTAACTATGATCTCGTGTGATTTCAACTATTTTCGCACCTATTTTTTTACATCAACCCCTCATCATGGGAATGGACCAGTTTTTGTTAACATTGAATTGACGCTTGTTGCGTTCTCGTCATGATGCAGGTTTGACAAGATTGTATGCTGTCAAAGCTGTGAGAATATTGAACACGTTTTTGTTTATTTGAAGAGAGGTACACAGCATGGAAAGTGCATACCGAAAGGGAAACAATATTAATAAAAACAGAACAATACCCTTCAAAACGAAACACAGAAATACAATAAAATCCAGAAACGTTCTATTGTATATAAAAAAGAGAAGTGGTATGAATGTCAATGAAATAAATATCAACCAAATGAATTGAATCTTATTAACTATATTTCACCGTACAGCCTTAACAATGAGGAAAAACATACCGTAAATTTTACTAGAAAGTTTACTACAGAAGGTTCCAAAATTTAAAAAAAATATAAAACAACTGAAACAAAAAATTCCGAGTCCTGATCTGTAAAACAAAAAGATAAACAAATAATAAAAAGAACAGAAAGCAACCATCAACAAACACTGGATGACAGGATCCTGACTAATGACAAAAACAAATCGAATAAGGCGGTGTTAAATATGGTGTTCGTGAGCGCTCACCCTTTCTAACCTGTAACAGTGATTTCTTATATAATACAAAATAACAGAAAATTGTAAACATAAGTTGGAAATGGCTTGATTCATAAGATATAAAGACACACACTACTGATCTAACTTAACTTGGTTAGTATTGTAGATTCCATTTTGGTCCTATAGCGTTTCAAGTGATTCACGACTTACATACATCCATGGCTTTGCAAGTTTTGGGTTTGAACTTTCCTGAAAAGATAAAATCCCTAAACAAACTCAAAGTATACATATTCAGTTTTATTTGGTACCTTATATGCAAAGCATTATGAGTATTTCCTCATATCCCATCCAAAGTTTAGAATCCTAATGTAAAAGTACAATATATGACTAGAAAATTACAACTGATTTAGATATTAATGCAATTTTACATGCTTGAACTTTCAAACGTCAGGGTAATGCCACAATCACATCAAGTGCGGTCTTTAGATGATATAAATTCTGCTTAAGCCGTTGAAATTTTAATATATTGTTAGACAAGGTTTACATCGATTTAAAATGATTTGTAAACTGTTTCAAGGTAGAATTATCGTTACTTTTATATAACGAATTGTTTTAACTCAACTTTTTTTTATTTCTATCGAACATTACATAATTTTGATGAATGATTTTCTTTTTATGAATATTGGTTATTTGTGTTCACACATTGAAACCGTATCATAACATATCATTAATCTAAGTGAACACGAAAATGAGCTTGATGGATAAGTATTAGCAACACAATTTGGAAAATGAGTAGACAAACATTATAAGAAATAAAAGATTTCAAACTGTGGTGAAGGTTTTGACTCTGTCTAAAGATTTTACTGATTGGCTTTTTAAAAACACGCGTACTGCCTTTGCTCTGGGTCAAAATCCTTGATACCTTCAACGGATTCTGCATTTAGGTTCAATTTTGTGTTAGCAATCGTGATAGTAGTTCGTCAAATTTATGGTTGAAAAGTGCTTATGCTTCAATGTATTTCCATTCGAATTATTTGGCAAGCTGGCGTGCCTCTAAGAAATAATAAGAAATAGTAAGAAATATTGTATGTACCAGTATCACCAACTGCAGTCTATCATATTGGTCGCATCACCTTAGATGGATTTGCCTTAACTTTTTTTCCGTTATGAACAAATGAAGAAGAGGAGTATATCATGTATATGTCAATGAGACAACAACCCGAGGACAACAGTAACTTACACGATATCTAGAAGACAGGATTCAGTCATCTACACAAAATGGGTGTCTATACAATATCTCAAGCTGTAAATCAAACAGAAATAATGGAAGTTGCAAATCAATTGAACAGAAATAAGCAAGGATCTACTGTCATCTCCAAATTCTCCAAATAACCACAAACATTAAGAAATACCATAGCATAACAACTAACGAAGTTCAGGACTCGTAAGCCCTCACAATATGTATCTAAGAACTTATAAAGTTCCTGACAATCTTATTTGAAATAAACTTTTCCACTCGCATGAATGTAATATTCAGTTGAACAATTAAAAAAAAATACCAAAAACCTTTCATTTCAAAAGTTATATATCATCCTTTAAGATTCGATTTTGCAAATTCCTTATGTGTCCCTTAGTTTGTTATTTGTTCAGAAGTCTTGTGACCTTTATCAAACTTAATTCCTCAACGTTGTTTACACTTAAGTCTAAAATAGGAAATAGTTACTTAAGATATAAAATAATAATATAAAAACGTGATCAGTGTTTACAAACAAGAATTTGTTACAGAATGATAAGCAGTTCCCTCATTATACTTATCACAGAGAAAGGGACTTTTATTATGTTACAAACTTTAAACATTTTAAGTGCATTTTGTTATCAAGGCTCAACTGACCTCTTGATTTGACTTTATTCAAGAATGTGTTTCATGGTCAGCGCATTGTATAAGTATGATTTCATTTTTAACCATTCTAGTGTAGACTATATCTACTAGTTTCGGCAAACTACAATAAATTGTGTTGTATTCATTTTTTATTACATTAAAACGGTTCAGTATTAAATGTTTGAATTGTTTCTTTATTATGAGGTTGAATGCAAATCGTTTCTTCCTTTGATGAAAAATACCTCTCATTTTTTCAAAATTTACCGTTGTGTAAATCGATACATTTCTTAATTTGAGTACCTATCTATGTAGTTTATTTATATTTGATTGCACATCCACTGCCCCTCTCAACGTCAAATATTACTTCGTTATGTGATGTTTAAAATTAAATTTAAACATTGATTTTCAAATGAAAATTGAAAAGATAATGTTCCTCATATGAGATTTTAATGCTATTTTACTTTCTGCTTTTATTGTATTTGAATATTTGAAATTGGTGTTTTCAACAACGATGGATCTAGTAATTGAAGACTGGGTTAACCTATTAACTAAATAATTAAGTTTTATGAGATTTTTGTCTCTTTTGTATTTAGCTATATTTATTCTTATAATTTAACGAAATGTATTCTTATGTTTATTTAAATTTCAACATATTTACATTTTTTGTTGCTTATTTTAAAATCCATCTTTTAATAGATTCTGATCAGGATCACTTCAAGCTGATACACGTGCTTCCGTATCTTGTAACTCATTTAGTAAAATTATTTAGTCCCTTATATGCTTATTTTGAACTGCGATAAAACAACATGATAATCCCATTCTAAGGACACGTTTAAAAGAGGGACGAAAGATACCAGAGGGACAGTCAAACTCCTAGATCGAAAACAAACTGACAACGCCATGGCCAAAAATAAAAAGACAAACAGACAAATAATAGTACAGATGACACAGCATAGAAAACTAATGACTAAGCAACACGAACCCTACCAAAAAATGGGGGTGATCTCAGGTGCTCCGGAAGGGTAAGCAGATCCTTAAATATTGTTGCGTCTGAGTGCTTTTCTAGATATTCACCATCAATAACGTTGAAAATTCGAACGTTTAAAGCCATGGTTAAAGCTATTTGAGGGGCTGTATGGCCAAAAGGGGTTAACAACACAGAATCAGGTAAGGTCAATTGTGCCTGAGAGATTTTAAACCTTTGCATCTCACCAAACAATTGAGTTAATAAAAGAAAAAAATAAGAAATGTATCTTCAAATAAAGTTGTTGGCGAAGTACGTTAATAATAACATAAACGGTACCAATTTTTCTGCACCAGATGCGCATTTCGACAATCAATGTCTCGTCAGTGATGCTTGAGGCCAAAATATTTGAAAATCCAAAGCTTATTATATGTGTATAAAAGGTTCGATGTCTGCCATAACTATGCCACAAACTATTCAAATATGACGTCGTCAAGGAGACTTAAACACGTATTCGTGATTGAGTTAAGAAGTATCAACATTTATTGCATTTCAATAAAGGACGTAACGTACAGTAGCGATTCATAAATATCATGCTTACATTGACAGTTTTACATGCGAATACTACTACATATACGGAAAATTCTTTCCCATTTTAACTCACTTTGATTAATATACCTCTCATTCCATGATCTTTCAAGTTAATTATCCCATTGATTTTATAATTTTGTCTTACATCACACTTCCATAACTATCTTTCTGTACATAGTTCATATAGTACACATGACGAGGATTCAAAACGCACACGTTTCATTCTAATATAAACAAAAACTTAGAGCTCTTACATTTGTTCATAAATCTTTGTTTTTTATTATCGAACTCATTGGCAATCGTACAATTAAATATATTCCTTTCAAGGTATTTTATTTCAT